ACTTACTTTATCCCACATAAAATGCAACATGTCAATTTAATTTGACGTTACAGTAAAACTTCGATATACAGTGTCCGGAAATAATGTGTACCAAAAATATGATGATTTAATTAAATTTATCTATATACAAAATTGCTTAGTTTAGTTACTAGAAGGCTTTGAAAATTCATGATGAATCTAAGATAAAACGCTAAACGAAAAATACGAATACTGCTATCAAGTTTAAGTGACAAACTGTTTTTGTTTTTAAAATTAATTATACCTACTACCCGTGCAAAAAGTCAAGGCCCCTCACTTTAGAGATCGATATCTTCGCAACCGTTCGATAAAAAAAATTGCGACAAAGTTTGTTGTAATCACTGAGCATTTCTACGTAACATGCGTTAATTTGAAAATTTTCGGATCCACGGTTTTCTTTTTATAGCGAGTTAAATGAAAAAAGTACCCGATTTTTTACGGCATCGGCAACTTTGTGAAATTTGCGATTTTTTTTCTCGAAAACTATTGTACGGGGGTTTCGTCCAATCGGAATAGATGGTACGTCCCAGAGAGGACGTCGCGCCTTATTTCTTTATGTAGGTAAGATAAGGCGCGACGTACTGTCTGGGACGCACCAACTGTTCCGATTGGACGGAACCCTCCTCTCCCCGCAGAGCTTATTTCTGTTTCTCTTTTATTTGTAATTCCACTAAATAGCTCTTAAAAAATTAGGGAGCCCTAATTTTGAAAAACTGATAACGAAATCCGAGAACCAACATTATTTGACATATTTTAGTAAAAACCGCCGTTGAAATCCGCCAGGTCGTTTTCGAAATAACCGCATCCTACTAAACCGCGATTTTCCGCGAATCTATATGGAATATCGAAAAAATAAAATATACCCCACATTAAGAACACATCGGTTTACCATCAGTTCAAATTTGAAATTTTTTCGTCAAATAGTTTTAGAGAAAAAATGTCGCAAAGTAGACAAAGTTACTGGCACTCTCAAAAATCGAGTACTTTTTTCACTTAACTCGCGATAAAAGAAAAACCGCGGACCCGAAAATTTCCAAATTAACATGTGATACGCAGAAATGTTCACTGATTACAATAAACTTTACTGCAATTTTTTCCATCTAGCGGTTACGAAGATATCGATCTCTAAATGGAGGGACCTTGATTTTTTGCACAGATAGTAGCCAACTATTAAAAAAACGTTTTTAGGGTTTTTAGTTATCTTGCATCACTCATTCGCGTTTGTGAGGATTTACAAAATATTTTTTTGTGGCTAAACCGTTCACCCAACTGAATTTTTGTAAGAGAGAAAATAGTTTCTAAATCAAAGTAACTATTCAAAAAGAAAAAATGGTAGTGTTTATACAGGGGGTGAAAAAGATATGGATACATAATTTATTATAACAAAGTTTTTAAACACCCTATAATTTTCCAAATTCGAGTTTATTCTACAAATAGCTGTTGTCTACTGATATAAATGCATGACCAAAAAATGAATAAAATCCATCGAGGATTTTTTGACTTATTTAAAAAAAAACTTAAAAACATATTATTTTTAAAGTCCTCTAGCAGCTAAACTAAGGGCCGGTTGTACAATATACCGATAAATCTACCTGATATCTATCCGCCCGATAAACTTATCAGGAGGATAAAGATATTCGCTGTTGTACAAACTGTTTTTGTCGGTAGGATTGCTATCAGCGAAACAAGAGTCGGTTGGTAGTAGTTTTTCCCCATATCTAGTGATTTATGCCGTCGAATGGTAACGTCAACGTCTTTCTTTGAAGTTTGAATTATGATTTTGACAATATAAATTGTTTAAAAAAATTTTCACTGACACATCGTACATATAAGGTTAACGTTTAATGTTAGAGGTTAACCTATGCAGTAATCATACAAAGTTTTTATATAAAAACCTTGGTAACCATAAATATCTGCCGGATAAGTGTCTTATCGGCACCGCTGAGTACCCGATAAGTTATCCTGCCGATAATCTCACCGACAAAAATATCCGTACATTGTAATACAGTACAAACTAACTTATCTGCCAGATAACACTGTCGGGAAGTTTATCGCTATATTGTACAACCGGCCCTAAGTAATTTTGTATATAGATAAGTTAAGTTAAATCATCATATTTTTGGTCAAGGTACTTGCGGTCTTGCGTTATACACGTCATTTCCGGACATCCTTATTATAGCTTAATAAAAATATACAACAATCTAGCGCTGAATAATAAATAAAACTAGACTAACACTTGCACTAGACCTAGAACTAGAAACAGTCCATTTAGCCGTGAGCCTCTTAAAACGACTAAATCTGAATATTTCTACCTCTAGGTCTAATGATAGTGATAGTGCTAGTTAGCATTAGATATCATTGTGATGCAAATTTTTATTGAACTAAAACTAGAAATAACAGTGGGCTTAGACTAGAAAGTTTCGTCTGAAGACGCATGGCTAAATCTGAAACTTTCTAGTTCTAGGTCTAGTGTTAGTTCTAGTTTTATACTAGCACTATCACTAGAACTAACACAAGAACTAGAATCATTCGGGTTTAGCCGTCTTGAGAGACGTGCGGCTAAACCACAAAATGTTTATGGATGCACCTTTCCGTCCTTTCTGTAGGTTTAAAGCGGTGCAAAAGTTTATAGCAAGAACTTCTGCTTGGAAAATTGTTATGTCCGAACTGAGTGGCAGTTTAATATGGTTGTTTGGTCTATTGCTGCAAATACCTCCTCCTGGTCTAACTGTCTTTGAAGCATCGGTGTACCAGGCTAGGGCTCCTCTTTATAGTTGAGGCTCTCCCTTCGCCCAATCATCCCTGCTTCTAAATATGACCTTCTACGGCTGGTTGAAATTGTATTCTATCGGTATAAGGTCCGTTTCAATTTCAATCAGGTGATTTAGACATGGATCCTTGAGGATTTCGAGGTGTCCTCTGAGGTTGCCCTGCATCAACTTGAGTGCAGAAACTATTTCTGAGTAGGGCTTCAGCTGTCTTATATTTTGATTTTGGCCACCAAACCAATGAGGCGTAGGCGACCATGGGTCTGATTATTGCTACATAGACCCAATGAGCATTCGTGGTTCTGGATCTTCGCAGATCTGGTTTGTCATGATGGCCTTTTTCCTCACCTTATCTAAGTGTGAGTTCCAGATAAGTTTACTATCTAGTATTACCCCTAGGTATTTAACTTCTATTTTGAGGTTGATAGTTCTGCTTTCAATGGAGGGTGCTTTTATTTGTAGCTTCCTTCTCCGAGTCAGCATACCCCTGAATCTTGAATTCGTTTTTTTGTTAGGGTGTTCATCAAGTCATCAACTACCAGGTACCACAATAGAGGTGATAGCACTCCCCCTTGGGGATATCCTCTTAGCACCTTTATAGTCAGCGATTCGCCTCCCAAACTGGCTGTGATCTGCCGACTTTTCAACATGGCTATACACCATTTGATTGTCGACATCCGTCTATATCTTTTACATTTAGAGCCTTCTCTATGGATTCATAGGAGGTGTTATCAAACGCACCCTCTATGTCTATGAAAGCACATAGGGCTATCTCTTTAGTTGCAGTTGCCTGCTCTAAAGTGCTAGTCAAAGCATGGAGAGCAGTAATTGTTGATTTTGTTTTCTGGTAAGCATGTTGGCTAGGCTGGAGTGGATTAGTGACAAGCACTCCATTCCTAAGGTATTGATCGATTACTTTTTCCATCCCTTAGAGGAGAAATGAAGTTAGGCTAATTAGAGTGACAGTGTTAGGTAGCGCTAGTTAGCATTAGATATCATTATGTTGTATATTTTTGTTGAACTAAAACTAGAACTAACACTAGATCTAGTACTAGAAAGTTTCGAGTTCAGCCGTCTAAACCCGAACGTTTCTACTTCTAGGTCTAGTGTTAGTTCTAGTTTTACACTAGCACTATCACTAGAACTAACACAAGACCTAGAACTCAAATCATTCGGGTTTAGCCGTCTTAAGAGACGTGCGGCTAAACACGAACGATTCTAGTTCTAGACTTATTGAGACACCCTTTATTAAGCTATGTTGCATTTTATGTGAGATAGTGCAAGTGCATAATAGTTTAGTAAGTATGGTTACTGCATTCATATATTGCGCATTATATGAAATTCCCGGATAGACTGGACGTCGCCGTCTGGTGCAAAATAATAAAACTAAAATAAAATTTATTATTTAATTATTTTTTTACCGATACAAGGAATTACAACACATCTTTTACTCAAGGTCAAGTGCGGAATCAATTATTTATAACGGGATGTGTAACAATTAAATTGAGTAAGATTATAGTAAGAAAATTCAAACCACCAGAAGATATCACCCGAATTGTAAGAAATATAAAGTTTAAAATATTTACTTGTAAAAGACTGACATTATAATTCTGGTCACCTACGAAGTGCAATCGCCGAAGAAACACTGACAAATGCAAAGGATCACAGGGTGGAATATCAACTCGAAACACACACGTCTATTCCTGTATTTGTGGCTATAAGGACTCCCATCGATCGAGTTGAAGAGAATCCAGAGTTTCTATCTTATAAATAATATAGTCACCCCAAAATATCTCCCCATTAAAAATTGATTCATTCAGGTTTGCTCCCATTGATTTAGAAATAAATGTTACAACTTGATCCCGTAGTTTACGGGAGAAGAACTTACAATACTTTTTTGAATTGAATCAACCAGACGAGACGAAAAGAATTGAATGACATCAATGTCGCATTGAAGAATTTAAAACCTCCCCGATTTTAGATAGTGTAGACCAAAGTTCCTTTTCTCAGGAATTCCCGATAGACTTAACTCGAGAGGTCAAGACATCCCCCCAAAGATTTCAATTTAGCATTTTTAGATTCAAACGTCTTGATCAACTACAATGAGTCGTCAGCACAAATGATATCTAACTCAACAAGTTACGTCTAATTTCTAAAATGTATACATTACCTAGATAAATGAAAACTACATAAACATTATAAAAGAATACTCACCGATTTAAATCCTCTATACATAATCCTAATTTCTTGTCTAGTAAATTTGGTCAATCTGCACAAATCTTCTAAAGCAACTGGAATCGGTTTCGGTACTCTACTTGGCTCGATTTCATAAACAACCTCTTCAATTGGACTATCCGATGGCGTAGCCATAATTCTTCACTTTTCCCAAAAAAACAACCAAACCCACCCCCCACAAAAAAATCCCCCCAAATAGTTCGAATTATTTTTCCTATTTTTTCCTCGAATCCATAGGAAAATATTTCTTATCTCATCCTTTTTGTCCTAGCCAGGATCTGTCACTTTTCACGGACAAATCCGTGTCTTAAATCAAAAAAAGGAAAAAATCTTAGCGAAACCGCGAAAAATACCCGGAAGTTTTCGAGAAACGATTTCAACGGTTGGTTCGATGAAAGTTTCATTCATTTAATACTTTTGAAATGATGGTTTTTTAAACGGTGGTATTCTGCTGGTTGTGTTAGCGTTCGATTAAATTGGAGTCCGTATTTTGGCGGAGTCCCGGAGCGACCCGGACCGACTACTGCCCGGCAGGGATCCCGGCTCCACCATCGGCAGCGTTCGTTTCGTTTCGGGATAACGAAGGAAGTCGGTTTTCAGACCTTTTTCATTCTTCCTCGGTGGGTTTTAGTAGGAGCTTTCAGGTAAACTCATCGTAAAACCGAATGTGATTACGATTTTTTTTTTGCTAACTTGCTTAGTTTGTTTACTTTAAAATCGGATAGAAAGTTGTTATCTATTAATTAATAAATTAAATTATAAGAAAATGCATTTTTTCTGGTTTATTTTTAAACGAGTCGTTAAACGTGGCTTATTATTTTATTAAATATCCCACTTAAACTAAACTCGACGACCACCAGAGCTTAATTTATTCATCCCCAGCTAGAATTCATGTTTTATTCATGATTTTTTGATACACATCTCAAGTCTCCACCTATTTTTCCACCACGTCATCGATCGCGATATTAGATTATACCGTATTGCGGCTAATTATATTTGATATTACTCGAAAAGCAATAAAAATGTGATGATATTTTATAGGGGTGGTATCGAAATATCTGGTATATAGGCAACCCAAACGTCACAATCAATATTTTATTTAATTTAAGTTTTATTATTAACAAGCACTTAAATTAGCAAAATAATTTAAACAATAAATTCTTTCAATTCATTTAATTTATAACGTTTAAATTAAAAATAAATAAATTAATTATTAATAATTTAATTTTTATCTAATAGATGGCGGTGATAATTTAAAAGCGTTAAAGTCCCTAAGTAGATCACTAAAGTGATCTGGCATGAAATTTTTAAACTATTCGAGCCAAACTGGCGGTTTGATAGCTTGTCAGTGTATGTTACTGCTTGTTTACAAAAAAATTACACTTGTAATAATGCCGTCTTGTTGTCTTCGGAGTTGTAAATGGAGGAAATTGCTTCATTAGTTTGTATGTATGTATGGATTGGGGAGTGCATGCAAAACCGCACGCCACACTTAGGCCCCATTGGGCCCCTTGTGCATCCTCCCATTACACACTCTGGTCACATCAACCAGCCTAAGGATTTGCTAAAGGCTAGGACAGCTCCTAGAGGTGCATTCCTGATGTCATCTGTGGTTGGCCATTCCTCCCCGAAGGCCCTCATTTTGAGGTCGGTCAAAGAGGAGCAATCACACAAGATGTGTTTAACCGTCTCGTCATCCTGTTCACAGGCTCGACAGAGAGGGGAGTCAGCAAGCTTCATGTTTTGAAGGTGCTTATTTACCTTACAGTGTCCCGTGAGGAGACCTGTGGCAGTGCGAAGGGCTCTTTTACCAAGCCCTACGAAGAACTGGGCTGTTGCGGCTGAAGGATATTTTAACAATTCCTTGGCGAGATGATAGCTCGGGGTACGGTCCCACCCGTTTAAATGCTTCATTAGTTTATTTCATTAAACTTTCATTAAGTTTTTACATTGGACCGATGTTTTAAAGTTGCTCCCTAAATGAAAAGAAAACGTTGTACATTCTATACATTTCGAGAAAATGAATGTTTATTTGAGTTGTGCATTGCTATATTCAAATAATGCAGCAGCAGTAAGTTATTATTATTATTATTATTGCTGCCGGACTGAGGTGGGCGGCCCCTCTCGTTACCGCGACCTATAAGATCTATTGTAACTTTAGCCCTCCAAAGGTTTAGGGCAAATGTAGGTCCTTAATGAACCTTAGTATTGTCCTGAGGTCTTGAACCTTTATGTCGGTAGGTAACAGGGGAGTTTTACCGAAGACGTTGTGCCTTAGACGTCCTCTGGCGACGCAATTGCACAGTATATGTTCAGCAGTTTCTGACTCGTCGTTGCATAGTCGACAAGTTTGATCCTCAGCTTGTCCAATGTGGAAGAGGTGGTATTTTAGGGGCACATGGCCGGTTAGGTAGCCTGAGAGCGTTCTTAGATCCCCTTTGCTGAGGCATAAAACCTCTTTGGTTTTGTTTTGCGACGGAGTTATCATACTCTTCGCTTGTCTGTGACCTGGAAGTTCTTTCCAGCGTAAGGCTATCTTTGAAGCCTCCCAGTTGTTGATTATTTGTTTTAGGTGGCTTTTTTGTAGTCCACATCCAGGTTGGGGTCCAATGAAGGGCGTGTTTGCTGCCTCTTTGGCCAGCTTGTCGGCCTTCTCATTGCCCTCAATGTTGCTGTGACCTGGAACCCACCATAGGGTAACATCATTGCCCCTAGCGAGTTCTCTCAGGTTGTTGGTGCACTCTCTGATCAGTGCGGAGCCACACGTGTAGGCCTGAATTGCCTTTAAGGCGGCCCGACTGTCTGTGAAAATGTTTATGGATGCACCTTTTTGTCCCTTCTGTAGGTTCAAAGCGGTGCAGAAGTTTATAGCAAGAACTTCTGCTTGGAAAATTGTTAAGTCCGAGCTGAGGGGCAATTTGATGTGGCTATTTGGTCCACTGATGCCCATGCCTACTCCAGATCTTACTGTCTTTGAAGCATCGGTGTACCAGGCTAGGGCTCCTCTTTTTAGTTGAAGCAGTAAGTTACTATATTAACTAAAATGTTTTTGATAAAAACATAGTTTTTACGGCTTATCCACAAATGGTTTAAAATTATGTATTCTTAAGCAGGCTTATACAAGATTCCATAGAAAACTTGCTTTAGTTGATTAGAAGCCGCCGAGCAACACCAGACGCAAAAGAATTCAAAACGTCGATGAGACTAGTTTCTCTTTCACAATTTCAAAAGGACTTGAAACATTCAAATTATTTGGTTCGCTATAGCCGAACGTTATCAAGCAAACAACATCAACAACAACAAGAATCAGGTAAAGCTGATAATGAAGACGAAAACGAAACATGGTGGATAAATAATAACTGCATCCAAGATGTCTACATGCTTCAGGCACAAGGACCTCATAGCCATACTGAAAATCTGGATAACCATGCTAAAGCCTCATTGTATTATTTGGCAGGGATTTAATTCAGAAAATACGTAAAAATATCACATGTGAATGTATTGGACAACTGTTAACTAACAGAAATTGCAAAAAATAGAAAAGCTTAGTATGTTTACAAGATTACGTGAATTTAAGGAAAATATACTGTTGTTCCCTTGTCTGGAATTTCTCAGTATATTTATGCCTGTGAAGTAATTTTTAGAATAAATAAAATTTGTTTTTGCACTTAAATGGATTTTTATTTAAATTTTCTCATAAACCGGTTTCGTTATATATTTACAGCATCTTCAGGAGATTACCTACATTGATACAAATATTCTTATGTAAATTTAAGATTTACATAAGAATAAGATTTTAATTACAAAAGAATATTTGTACTGGTCGAGAGAAAATTTAAATAAAAATCCATTTAACTGCAAAAACGAATTTTATTTATTAGACATAAAATGGAAAGAAAATCATCAAACAATAATAATTTTTAGAAGACTAGAAATATACTTAATAAGCAATAAAATCAGCACTGATGATTTTATTCACCAATATTCGGTACACGTAAAATTAAACATTATTTTGTTAAAAGTTCTAAAACTTGTTTTTAAATGTGGGATCGGTTTAGCCATGCATCTCTTAAGGCGGCTAAACCAGGTTATTTCTAGTTCTGGGTCAAATGTTAGTTCTAGAGACAATGTTAGGTAGCGCTAGTTAGTATTAGATATCATTATGTTGTATATTTTTATTGAACTAAAACTAGAACTAACACTAGACCTAGAACTAGAAAGTTTCGAGTTTAGCCGTGCGTCTGAGGACCTAGAACTAGAATCATTCGGGTTTAGCCGTCTTGAGAAACGTGCGGCTAACCTCGAACGTTTCTAGTTTTAGGTCTAGTGTTAGTTCTAGTTTTACACTATTAGTAGAACTAACACAAGACCTAGAACTAGAATCATTCGAGTTTTGCCGTCTTGAAAGACGTGCGGCTAAACCCGAATAATTCTAGTTCTAGGTCTTGTGTTCGTTTTAGTTTTACACTGGCACTATCACTAGAACTAACACAAGACCTAGAACTAGAATCATTCGGGTTTAGCCTTCTATAGAGACGTGCGGCTAAACTCGAACGTTTCTAGTTTTAGGTCTAGTGTTAGTTCTTATTTTACACTATTAGTAGAACTAACACAAGATCTAGAGCTAGAATCATTCGGGTTTAGCCGTCTTGAGAGACGTGCGGCTAAACCCGAATGATTCTAGTTCTAGGTCTTGTGTTAGTTCTAGTTTTACACTGGCACTATCATTAGAACTAACACAAGACCTAGAACTAGAATCATTCGGGTTTAGCCGTCTTAAGAGACGTGCACCTAAACACGAATGATTTTAGTTGTAGGCCTTGTGTTAGTTGTAGTGATAGTTAAAGTAAAGCTAGAACTAACACTAGACCTAAATCTAGAAATCTTCGGATTTAGCCGCGACGGTTTTATTCGTGACTTTTTGATACACATCTCAAGTCTCCACCTATTTTTCGATCTCGTCATCGATCCCGATATTAGATTAAACCATATTGCGGCTGTTATGGCTGATTGCGGCGAATTATATTTGATATTACTGCTAAAAGCAATAAAATTGTAATATTTTATGGGATGGTATCGAAAATATGGTATATAGGCAACCCAAACGTCACAATCAATATTTTTATTTAGTTTAATTTTAATTATTAACAAAAAATTAAATTGCCAAATCAAAAAAGAAATTAAATTTAAACAATAAATTCTTTCAACTAATTTAATTTATAACGTTTAAAAAAAAAATTAATTATTAATAATTTAATTTTTATCTGATAGATGGCGGTGACAATTTAAAGCAAAAGCGTGTTGTATCGTAACCTAAAATTTTTGACACATTGAATAAATTTTATTTATAAAATAAAATATTAATAACGAATAAAGTAAAATGGACGAAGAAAACGATGAAAAGATATTAAATTTCCACGAAATGGAAATAGATGATCGAATATTAAAGGTAAAGTAAAAAATAAACAATTCTAACCCAACTTTTAAAACCGTCAAATTATTAGGCAATAGCGAAATTAGGATGGCAAATTCCAACTTTAATACAAGAAAAAGCAATTCCTTTGTTACTTGAAGGAAAAGATGTTTTAGTTCGAGCTCGAACTGGATCTGGAAAAACAGCTGCTTTTTCGATCCCTGTAATCCAAAAAATTTTAAGCTCAAAAGATACTACGATCCACCAAGAAACCAAGGCATTAATTTTGGCTCCAAGTAAAGAATTATGCGAACAAATCTGTAAAGTCGTTGAAAGTTTAACCATAAAATGTTCAAGAGAAGTACGATGTATCGATATAGCACCAAAAGCCGATTTACAAGTTCAAAAGCCGATGTTGGTTGAAAAACCCGATATTGTTATAAGCACACCAGCTAGGGCTTTACAACACATAAAAGCAGGAAATTTAAACATAAAGGAGTCTTTAGATATGTTAGTTATCGACGAAGCTGATTTGGTGTTTTCGTTTGGTTACGAAGATGAAATTAAAGATCTTTTAAAATATTTACCCAAAATTTATCAAGCTATTTTAGCCTCGGCTACGTTAAGTGAAGACGTTAAAAGCTTGAAAAGTTTGGTTTTGCATAATCCCGTTACTTTAAAATTAGAAGAACCCGATTTGGCCCCGACGACTCAATTAACTCATTATCATTTAGCCGCCGAAGAATTAGAGAAGGCTACGATACTTTATGCTTTATTAAAATTGCATTTAGTTAGAGGAAAAACGATTATTTTTGTTAATACTGTTGATAAATGTTATAAGTAAGTATTAATCTTCGAATCTTAATCTTCGTTTTATAACACGAGCGGGCGCTTGTCATAAATTTTATCACATCAGATCCCTATCAATTTAATAAAAATAGTAATATATTTTAGTAAAAATATTTAATTTATATTAAACAATTGTTTAAAAATATAAAATGAACACGATTAATTTTTGAAATCTAACAACATTTACAAATTAAATACCGGGAATTTCATATAAGTCGCGATATGCTACTGTGCACTTGCACTGTCCCACATAAAATGCAACATAGCTTAATAGTATAGGCATAGGGGAGTTTTGCAGAAGAAAAATTTTGCTTGGAAAAGGGTCCGTCTTAAGATACGCATGGCTAAACCCGAATGTTTCTAATTCTGGGTCTAGTGTTAGTTCTAGTGATAGTGCTAGTGTAAAACTAGAACTAACACTAGACCTATAACTGGAAACATTCGGTTTTAGCCGCACGTCTCTCAAGGCGGCTAAACCCGAATGATTCTAGTTCTAGGTCTTTCTAGAATCATTCATCACTTATCATTTACTAATTAAAGATATTTTAAATAATATTTATTTGCTTCAAAAAGTACTTCCAAAATTAATACAAAAGTTGTTAAAATAACGTTTAATGGGAAGAGTGGCGCTGCTTTTTATTACCCCAGATATACTTAATATTAGGCTTTATGGATGAAATTTGAATTCTCTTTTTGGCGTCCAGTTTGTTGCGATATTTATTTTTTGTCGACACATAAGCTGAGAATCCCATTTCATACATACAGGGTGTGTCAAATGTCTGGAATATAGCCAATAACTTCTCCATTTGTGGTTTTAAAGAAAAATGTTTCAAATAAAAAACTCTTTATTAATTGTGGCGCATTTTTTGGCGATGTTTTTCTTGCTTGTTTAGATTGTTCTTTGTTTCGTTGCTATAGCAACCAACATTGTTGTTTTAAATGGGATGCATATGTTTTTTTTACATATTTTAATAGAAGATAAATCCCTCTACGCGATGAACATATCAAATCATATGGTTGTATTAAAAAAAATCGAGAAAAAATGCGTTTTTTGAAAGTCTTAAGTCAGCAAATTACAATCAAAGTAGGCACCGAAATAACGCCGTTGACAGCTTTAAATGTAAAAAAATTGACAGTTTAAATAAATATGGCGCAATTAAGCCAACGACAAAGAATCCAAATATTAATAATACAGTGCAGGTGATAGAAAACGCACTTAAAGTGAAGTTTGTACACTGTTCAACAATATTTACCCGGATACACAAATTACACAATCCGCAGTATCCAAAATATTAAAAAAAAGATTTAACACCGGAAGTGTTAAAAACCTTCCAAAAAGTTGATGGCCGAAGCCAGTTACCAATGACCATACATTATTAATTATTCATAATTGTTGAAACTGTAGTTTTTTTTAGTATTTAAAGCTGTCAACGGCGTTATTTCGGCGCCTACTTTGATTGTAATTAGCTGATTTAAGACTTTCAAAAAACGCATTTTTTCTCGATTTTTTTCTTTTACAACCATATGATTTGTTATGTTCATTGCATAGAGGCACTTATCATCTATCAAAGCATGCAAAAAAATATATGCATCCCATTTAAAATAACAATATTGGTTGCCATAGCGACGAAACAAAAAACAATACAAACAACCAAGTATCGCCATAAAATGCACCATGATTAATAAAGAACCTTGTGTTTCCATTTTTCTTTAAAACCACAAATGGCGAAGTTATTGGCTATATTCCAGATATTTGACACACCCTGTATATATAGTACAGCATATAAAAGCCGTAAGTAGGTAAAAGTACCAACACGCCCTTTTGCGACAATTGAGGATATTCATCTTTCAAACTGCACCAAAATTGCACTAACGGCATTGATTTAAATTTTTCTTGCACCTATGAATGAGATGTCATTTCAATCAAAGTGTCATATTCTTTTGATGACATGGTTGAAGGTCGTGTATTGATAATAAATGGGTTTTTAATCCACAGTTCTTGTTGATATTTAATCTGTCTGTCATTCGGAAAATATTCATTAAAAGCTTCACTCAAACCTTTCAGGTGTTGAAGAATTTCTTCAATAAATGTCTGCCCTATTTCAATCTTTTCCTCTTCCAGAAAGTCTTTTATAGTTGGGAAGCTATCATATTCTTTGGAGCGCACACAAATTACCCAAAATTCTATCTTTGTCTTGAAAGCAAGAACTTTTTCGGTAGCATTAAATACATTTACCTGTTTGCTCTGAAGTGTTAAATTATGATTATTGATCTTCGTAAAAATATCGGTTAAACATGCAATTTTAAGCAGCCAATTTTTATCAAATAATCGATTTTTTAATTCAAAATTATATTCTAAAAAAAGCACGTACTTCGTCCCTTAGTTTAAACAACACGGGTTAGTATCTTTCTTCGTGACAACCATCTGACTTCAGTATGTAACAGAAGAGACATTGAATAAACGATTATTTAGAGGCCGAGATTTTATGAAATTAATGATTTTGACCACCTCATCGAGAGCCCTCTTATAAGTGGGGGATAATTTCTTTGCAGCAAGTGTCTGGCTATGTAGCATACAGTGAGTGCTAGAACAGTTTTTGGCGATATTTTTAATAAGCTAGATTAATAGATATCGATGCAGTTGTCTCATGGTATTTCATTGTCTTCAAGAAAAGAATTTAGGAGACTAAATATTTCTGGTTTAGTAGTACGTGTTGGTAGAGATTTGCATAACAGAAGATAATTAATGTTGCGAGTCTAGCTACATCGGTAGATTCGTCCATTTGTAATGCAAATTTGCATGATTTCAGGCGAAAGTAAGCTCATTCTTTATACAGGGTCATCCACGACGAACGTCCATTAGAACTTTAGAGGGTTCTGGCCAAAACAAACATTTGAAAATTCAGATTTAAGTATTATTAATTGCGTTCTCTTCGGCTAAAATATTTTCAGATTTCTAGCACTTCCGGTTATACCATGCATAACATACGTAAGCAATATGACGGCGTATGTTTTGGTGCCGAGTACGGCTGTCTAGAAAGTTTGGTCACTTTACTACGGCACGTTAACTTTTCGAAATTTGGATGTACCATAACTTAATTTTTTTAAATGGCACCCCCCATATTTTATTACTTAGTTGTGTTCGGTGTCTCATTTTACATCTTTTATATCCCATATGTCCTATACCTAACATTTATAGTTTGGGATATAATTAGGGTTTTTTGAAAAATTCGCACATATATCGATATTTAACCTAGTGTGCCATGAATACCTAGTGTGACCTAGTGAATAACCATATGAAGTGGCCTTTTGAAAATTTGCAGACTTGTGATGTTGTTTGATGCCAGCTTTTTACTAAAATATTTTCAGGTTCCGGGTACTTGTGATTACACCGGAAGCGGTGACAATTTTCATATTTCAAATGGAACACCCTGTATTTCATTAAATTTTTGAAATTTTTGTTCAATTTTAGGCTACTTGTATGTTGCAGCCGACACGTACTCGCAATTATTTGGTTGCACTCTCCATAAATTATTATCAGATTCAAATAATCCTCATTACTAAATTCCAAACGTCAGATCACTACAAAAAGTAACCTAGTCATCACACCAACAGAAATAAACCATAGCTTTAATAAATGTCAAACTGTTTACTCTTTCCTTATTCATCCTCTGATAATACATAATCACAAGAACTTTCCCAACACAAAATTTTTTTTCCGGCGGTCAAGGTAGATGATTTATAAATTATAAAAAGTAACGTTGTAGTTGACATTTTTGATTGAAAAATTTAATAAAACTCAGGGTGTTCCATTTGAAATATGAAAATTGTCACTTCTGGTGTAACCACAAGTACCTGGAACCTGAAAATACTTTAGTTAAAAAGCTGGCATCAAACATCACAAGTCTGTACATTTTCAAACCCCCACTTCATTTGGTTATTCACTAGGTCACACTAGGCACTTAATTCATGGCACACTAGGTTAAATATCGATATATGTGTGAATTTTTCAAAAAGCTCTAATTATCTCCCAAACTATAAATGTTAGGTATAGGACACATTGGATATAAAAGATGTAAAATAAGACACCGAAGACGACTATGTAATAAAATATGGGGGGTGCCATTTAAAAAAATGAAGTTATGGTACTTCCAAGTTTCGAAAAGTTAATATGCCATAGTAAAGTGACCAAATGTTCTAGACAGCCGTACTCGGCACCAAAACATACTCCATCATGTTGCTTAAGCATGTTCTGAATCCTAAATTGATATCCCAAAAATCGAGTGTTCTCTGATTTTTGTGAACAAATGTCTGCTGGAGCAAATTGCAAAAAGTAAAGTTACTCATAACCTTGTAAACCTTGTAAATAGATAAATCCAAATATGTAAAAATATATAGGGTGTTCCATTTAAAAAAATAAAGTAGGTGGCGACTTCCAGTATAATCGGAAGTGTTAGATATCTGAAAATATTTTAGTCGAAGAGAACGCAATTGATAATACTTAAATCTGAATTTTCAAATTTTTATTTTGGCCAGAACCCTGTAAAGTTCTAATGGACGGTCGTCGTGGATGACCCTGTATTGGTTGCTACATTTCTGATGCGCTGAGCTATCGTCTCATTCAATAGTGGGATCTTACCTATTTCTTCTGCTGATTTTTCATCTAACATACATTTTACCATCTCCATAGCGCAAGGTTTTACAAGATTTTCCGCAATTGAGTAGGCTTATCCGCGTTGAGCTATTTGATAACTGACCAAGTAAGAAGCCTCAGTTGCTTTTTCATTAATCGTTTTTGTGGTTTGAACCATAAATGCTTTTAATTTTACAAGTTCGTCACATTTTCGCTTGAAAAATTCAACATTTTTTTCTTTAAGGTCCTCATGAACAGATTCCAAATGTCGACGCATCTTAGCTGGAGCCATAGAGCTATTTGGAAGAACATTGCTGCATATAATGCACTGCGGATTAGCATTACTGTTCATAAATCGTAAGGATATATAACTTTCATCATATCTCCTATGTTTTTTTAGTACACTTAGTGCACTTGTACAAGCATTTATAACTGGCTTATTTTCTTTTGGGGCAATTTGATTTGTATCGGTGTCAATGTTTACAGAAATATGTATTTCAAAACAGCTAAACGTTGAAGCTGATATTATGCAAAAAGTATCACCTACGATTCACGGAACCCTTGAGTGTTATACGCAGAACACAGTTTAAGAAACGCTGCCTTAATACATCCCATAATATAAATACGGCCTTATAACTCAGCAATTAATGTGTAAATTTTTTGTCTTTTATAACTTTTTTTTGCCATAAAGACAACGTCAATATATTTTATTTCATCATATTCAAAATACATAGTTACATGAATACTTTAGCGTTAAATCCTTTCAAATGCATAATGTAAGGAGATATATTATAAAAACGAAAATTCTCATACAGTTTATGACAGCGCGCCCGCACGAAGTTTAAAAAAAATGAATAAAATTTTCTTTTTTAGAATAAAATTGTATTTAGAGCAATTTGGAATTCCAACTTGCGTTTTAAACTCCGAGCTTCCAGCTAAAACTCGATGCCATTCCGTGAACCAATTCAACCAAGGTGTTTATAACATAATCGTAGCTTCCGATGAGAAAGCTTTAGAACAACCTGGTGAATTTGTTGATCGCAAAAAATCGAAAAGGAGGAAAGATAAAGAAAGCGGGGTTTCGCGAGGAATCGATTTTCAATTCGTTGCAAATGTTATTAACTTCGATTTTCCTCTCGATACTCAATCTTACGTCCATAGAGCTGGAAGAACCGCAAGAGGGAATAATCAAGGAAGTGTTTTATCGTTTGTTAGCATAAAAGAACAAGGGTTACATGAAGATGTTGAGAAATGTTTAAAAACGGGGCACAACACCGAAGAATCAGTTTTTAAAAAGTATCAATTTAAATTAGAGGAAGTTGAACCTTTTAAATATCGCGCGCAAGATGCGTGGCGCGCCGTGACAAGAATAGCAGTCCGAGAGGCTCGCTTAAAAGAGATTAAACAAGAAATATTTAATTGCAAAAAATTAAAAAGTTATTTCGAGGATAACCCGAACGATTTAAAAGTGTTACGCCACGATAAAGCTTTACACACAGTTCGAATTCAGCAGCATTTAGCCGATGTTCCCGATTATATCGTTCCCCCAACTTTAAAAAATTTAGCGGGGGTGGGGAAAAAGAGGAAGCGGAAAGGAGTGTTTAAAAAAATTGGGGAGAGTTCTTCAAGTAAATATCAAGCGAAAAAACGCAATCCTTTACTTAGTATGAAATTTGAAGGGTTTCAAAAAAAGAAAAAAACTTCGTGAAATAAACGTTATTAATTTGTCGATTTAAATAAGATTTTCGATAAATAAATAAAGATAAGTTTTAATTAATTAACTTTAACCCGTTTATGCTCACAGTTCCAATAATGAAACACTCCCGTTTTTCTCCCCTCCATGCTTTGTTGTTTTGCAGGTAGCAACACGTTTCCAGTAAACATGTTGATTAGTGAGAGTGATTGTTTGACGAATTATTGTTTCTTTAACGTGTAGAAAATGTTGGAAATTTATTATTTAACGTTGTGTTTATTGCCCTAACAATTTAAATGTGTGATCATCTATAATAACAAATACGATAAGTACAAAAAAAACACTTTTTCCCAAAAGTTCCAATATTGGAACTATGGGCTAAACGGATACATAAAGATTTTTAATAATTTTAGACCCCTTACAACTACAGAATTCGTTCAAGTAATAGAAGACGAGGATTTTTGGGCCGCTGATGTTTTTATCACTTCTCCAGATGATGGTGCTGAAAAATAGCGGCAATGAAAACTTCTGCAACGACGTCAATAACTAAATGATCGACAGCTTCACGGCGAAAATTACAAATCAAGGACGGACTTTTACAATTGGTGATAGCGACACTCGCGAGCAATCAAATAGTGACAACGAAACTTTGTCAGAAATACAAAAGAAGTTACCGAAAAAAAGAAACTGACAAAAATCCGATCTTATTTCTTGGTTATTTCTGGATTTCCGAATTTTGAGAAATTGATGCGATCAACACCAATAGTATTGTATCATTTTGGCAGAAATGACGACGTTATATGCACAACAAAAAGGTGAACTTAATTTCCGAGATTTTATTGAAGAAATAACGTGTTTTTGGCCATATTACTATTATCTGTCTATTGTGTTGTTCCTAGATGTAGAATGTAGCTGAGTGTTGATGAGACTATGGTTCCATACTTTGGTAAGCACGGGGAAAAACAATTTTTAAAAGGAAAGCCGATACAGTACTGTTACAAGATGTGGTGCCTCTGCGAATCTTTTGGGTATTTGATGCAATTTGAACCATACCAAGGAAAAAAACCGACGAGAGAAAATGCAGCTCGTACTTCAGCGGATAAAGAAGAAAATGCGATCTATAAAGGAACCAGCATTTGGTGTAGGAGGGTCTGCTGTACTGATAAAAAGTCCTGCCAAAACAACTAGTAAATCATTTACAGGAAAAAGATATGGATCTACGGGAACTATCAAATAAAATAGAATTGAAAAGTGTTCCATAATGCCTTCAAAAGTGGTAGAAAAGGACAGAGGTGTCTATGACTATTGTACAGATATTGCTGCAATCATTATTTCTTTCCATTTTATTTTAAATAAAGTAAAATACTTTTATCTTTCTGTATTTTTATTAAAATGGATGGAATGTTATAAATTCTACTGGTTTCGGTCCTTTTATAAAACCATCTTCAGGAAGAAGATGTCTTGTTCGTCGAACATCTTGTTCGTTAGTTTAGACTTGATACGCAATTCTACCATTAATAATAACATAGACACATTTCAATAAAACGCTTTATAGAAATTTCAAGATGCAAATTGTCACGAGAGCTTTAAAATTAAATTGACGAGTTTCGAAGGTTCCTGAAGATGGTTTTATAAAAGGACCGAAACCGGTAGAATTTATAACATTACATTCATTTTAATAAAAGTACAGAAAGATAAAAGTATTTTACTTTATTATACAGATGGTTCCAATAAACTAACCGTCACAAGCTGGTATGATAATAGAATAGTTTTGATGGTCAGTACTGTACGCTTTCAGAATGTGGAGTGAAAAGATGGGTATTAAAACAAAAAAAGGTTACCAGTTGCATAACCTCATGTAGTAACTCAATACAATACAGGGGTGACACGCTAATTAGCACACCGTACTGCATCTAGTTAAAAGTGCATAAAATCGAAGCAATTTCACTGTCTTTGTCGTGTACTTTGTTACGACTGTACTTTTGGCACTAACTGTTTATTTGGAGGACGTCGCACATAACATCTACCGTCAGGTCTGTATAGATTGAATTTAGATTCGTCGCTCCAAATTACGCAATTCCAGAAAAAGGGAAGAGATTCAATATGGCTTTTTACAAATTCCAAGCGCTTTTTACGGTTTCCAAGCAAAACCTTCGATTTTTTTTAAAGTTTAGCATCCCCGGAGATTGTTTTCCAGAAGACGTTGTCTGATAGTCCTACTTGCAAGTTGACATCATGTTCCTGCTATATTCTGGCTCTTATCTGTGAAGAAGTAACGAAAGGATCTTTGAGCACCTGTCGAACAATTAGGGAATCTTCCGTTTTTCCGGTTTTTCTGCGTCTTGATCATTTTTGATTAGAAAAACTTTTATTATTTCGATAATGCTTGAGTGCACTTTGAACTTTTTTACGCGGACTCCCAATAGATCGGCCAATTTTACTTATATTTTTTTCTTTCTCAAACATCTTAAACAACTCAATGATGTTTAAACAATTTTCGTTTAAATTGACTTAACTAACATTTATACTGCTTTTAAATCAAATTCAACTATCAATACGAACTTTATACGAATCAGACATTGCCAATGTCAAAGGTGTGGTAATTAAAATGCTAATTTATAGTAAACATATTTGCGAAAAAAGACGTATAACAATTTAAGCAGCGATTAAATGTTACTACAACGAAGCCATTACAAACGATACAGTATAAGTCAATACAAACAAATCAAAAATTATGTTAAAATGCCGTTATAGTTCGATATATGGATAGTACTGTTTGAATTTGCAAGGGTGTGCTAATTAACGTGCCAGCAGTGTAAATAAATAGTCGTTTATTGTCCAAAGTTACAACTAAATGCAACTTATTAAAACGAAAATAAAGAAAGCTACTTATTCGCTTCACACAACCGCAGAGCAATAAGTCAATATAATTTGACATTACACTAAAACCTCGATATAACGGGTTAATACAGGGAAGGCAGCGTCCGTTATAGCTCAATAAAAATATACAATAATCTAGCGCTGAATAATAAATAAAATTAGAACTAACACTAGACCTAGAAACATTCCGTTTAGCTGTACCTCTTAAGACGGCTCAAAATATCACTATGTTGCATATTTTTATTGAACTAATGTTTGAAGACGCACGGCTAAACCTGATACTTTCTAGGTCTAGTGTTAGTTCTAGTTTTACGTTATCACTAGAACTAACACAACACCTAGAACTAGAATCCTTCGGGTTTAGCCGTCTTGAGAGACGTGCGGTTAAACCCGAATGTTTCTAGTTCTAGGTATTTTGTTAGTTCTAGTGATAATGCTAGTGTAAAACTAGAACTAACACTAGACCTAGAACTAGAAAATATCGGCTAAACCCGAAACTTTCTAGTGAATGCGTAGAAACAACGGTTAGCCGTTACGGGGAAGGCAGTGTCCGTTATAGCTCAATAAAAATACAATGAAATTCCCCTAACTCGAACTTCTATATCTCGAATTATCCTCTAAGTCAAATAATTTTCGTAAGCTCAACGGTTTGACCACGTTTCAAATGTGTTTTTATCTCTCTAAGGCCCACTTTTACCACCTCTTGATAAATTTAACCGATAGATAATTACCATGGTTACAGCGGTTTTAAGCGCCTTCATTGGCTAAGGTCTATTATTACCATCTTTTAGGTAAATTTATCTTATAGATAAACCAGTAATGGACCTTAGGCTCGTTACTACCATCTTCTGGTTAAGCTATCTAAGGGATTATTACCACGGTTACGGCTATTTTACGAGCTCTGATTGGCTAGTAGATGGGTTTATCTATAAGAGAAATTTAACTAAAAGATGGTAGTAATGGACCTTAGAGCGCCAATTTATCTATCGGATAAATTTATCATGAGGTGGTAAAAGTGGGCCTAAGTCAAATTTCCCTAACTCGAATTTCTCTGTAACTCGAACTGAACTACTATGGAATTTCTTCAACTTTTACTTCTATAAGTCGAATTTACCAAAGCATAAAATATTCGAATCCGTTCTGTAAGTAATTTTTTTTTATTTGGGTGATTTTATGGTGCAAACAAATCCGGTAAAGTCCTACGGAAAGCCGTAACATTCGCTATTGTTCAAGCTGCTAAGTGGTGTCTAGTGTGTTTAAAATGGCTAGTAATAAGCGAAAATTAAAGTGCTTAACGATTACGGAAAAACATAAAAAAGAAATTGCTGCGACTAAACCCGAATGTTTCTAGTTCTCGGTGTAGTGTTAGTTCTAGTGGCAGTGGTAGGTTAGCATAAGATATTACTATGTTGTATATTTTTATTGAAGCAAAACTAGAAACTTTCTAGGTCTAGTGTTAGTTCTTGTTTTACACTAGCATTAGCACTAGAACTAACTAAAAACCTAGAACTAAAATCATTCGGGTTTAGCCATGCTGACAGACGTGCGACTAAACCCGAAAGTTTCTATTCGGCTGGAACATCTCGAATTTTCCTAGTGTAATTTTTGCTTAAAACTGACCAGTGATGGGCGCTGGGTAAATACCCTGCGGGTAGGTATTTATAAAATGGGTATTTATCCGGGTATTTACCCAGGCCCAGGGTAAATACCCAAACAGTACGTATAAAAGTGATACAAGCAAAAATATATCAGGCTCCGAAAAAAATGAAGAGGAAGATGACGAGGAATTGCCAACGATCGAAAACGTATTATCATCAGACGAATCTGTCCTAATTTAGATCAGATTTAGATTATGGTTATTATCATCAAGCTTTGCCACAATGTTGACCACATCATTTACGCCAGTTCTTCTTCATAGGTCTTCATTTAGTATATAGTCCCCCAGGGTTACACCCAGCATCGACCTCTCTATCTATCTTTCCGTTACTTTAAGCCTTCTGTCAAATCGCCATGTGTGATGGCGCATTGGAAACGTCATTGTAGTATAATTTTAACCACACATCTAAAGAATGTGCAGAAATTTTATATCCATAAAAGTTACGCTTGCTCAACGCGTGTATAGAGTAAAATATCGCAGTCGTTCAATGCCAGAGATTCTTTAACAAAGTTAAGAGCT